CGCATCTGAAAAAATGTATTGTTTATTAATAATTATACAGAACGATTTAACTAAATATTCATATTCTTAGGGAAATGTTATATTATTCATAAACATTTAACATAACATTTATTATAACACTTGTTATAACTAATAAGCTTTTATTATATAATAATAATTAATAAGTAATAAAGTTTTCAAATAAAATATTTGCTTAAATTTTTTTAATAAAATAATAGTTATTAATCCTGAGGTCGTTTTGAATTGGTCTTTATTTTTATTTTAATATAACAAAGCGTTGGACCAAAAACCATCTGCTACGTGAGTAAACACAAATCGCAAAACATGAGAGTACCCACCCCCATATGTGCTCGTTTAATTTTGATGAAGGTTCCAAGGGTATGCTTGTTGTTCAATATTTTATTCGTAATTACTATGGCGGGAATGACTTTTGAGATTTTTTTCCCCCTTCTCAAGAGTGGGAGGGTCATGTTGGAGTTATTATTTATTTTTTTTTTTTTGTATTCGCATTCCATTCCTGAAAAACCCACCCACCGACCCTTAGGGTGCAATTAAGATTCTTGTGAGAGGGACCTTAACGAAAAAGCGGAATCTGAATTCATGTTGAAAAGAAAAACTTCAAAACACGCAGAACGACTAAAGTGGATGTCGAAAAATGAATACTGGTTAAGTTTTAATTGTGACAGCGAGGGTTGTTTGAAAAGTTTTAATTTTGGACCACAGTACAACTCAAACAAATTATCGTTATTATTGTTTTTGCTATTTAACATTCATCCTTTTTTGTAAATGAAAAGCATTATGACATCCGTCCTCCAGGAGTGTCTAAAAATTAAACAGTGTCCCGTGACACAGTTTCAGAGATCAACTTAAAATAATATTATAAATGCTTATAATTCCATCATCATCAAGATGATTCGTATAGTTATAGTCGATGTCCCTAGATATTGTAAGAATTACAACTGCTACGCTACATTGTAATATCTAAGCGCATTCATCTTAATTTTACTATCTTCAGTTCTTTGTCAATTCCATCCTTTATAATTGCTTCTGGTAATATTTTTAACTGTATTTAATGCTGTAAAATGAATATTATGAAGTTATATACAACATATATGTCTGTCGTATCGTTTCCTATGAAAAATTAAAATGAACAAAACAAAAAAAAAAAAAACATTAAAATCGTATAGTTATATAAAATTGTCTGTTTAATTATAGTCGTTATGATCGATGATTATATTTTGGCGCCCAAAGCCATAGTTTTAAAATAAACCCTAGCGCAAGAATACCTCAGAACTAATTCCTCCGAGTAGCGGCGGGAGCAGGCTCAGTAATGATTATTATCAATCTGTTTTGGTCATTGCATTGCCGATGTTAAAAGGAAAAAATAAAAGGCGTGTTGAGGAGGTACGGCGATCCACAATGCTCAACAGGTGCTCGTCGTGTCGCCGCCGTTACAAGCGCACAGTGGACTGGCGGCGAGGGCGGCAGGCGTGAAACCGACCGACTGGCCGCACGTCGAACCGCTCGGGCAGATGTTTCCACCGTGCACGTCGCGCACCTGCCCTTCCTCGCGCGCCCGTCCGACCCGCGGGCCATCCGCGGCACTGATTAATCGTGATGACCTCGAAAATCGTTACGGGAAGGTCTAATCGAAACCGAATCTGGGTAATATATACGACGCGCGTTATACGTTACCTGGAAGACTATACACGCGCGTCGCGTCGAACAAAAGGAGAAGAAGGAAGAAATAATGGACGGAGGATGTTCGAAAGACGTGGCGTCGGTGGCGATCGTGTACAACGTGTAGTACGGGTCGACGGTAAACGAAATTGATTAGAAAAACACGATTCGAAAAACCGTTCACATTTACGGCCGAAGAAAACCGATTTCGGAATGTCTAACGCAACCCCCCCCCCCCCGATAACGTGTTGCCGAATCGTGTGCGAATGATTTCCGAGGCTGCGGGACGACCCGGGACAGATGGTCGGGCACGCGACGTCTTGTGCGGTTCGGTGTACCAATAGATCCGGCGCGCGACGACGGGGATTGGAAAACATAAATTCAACAATCGCGTTATTGGCGTTCGACCGACGCAGGGCGGTGGTGGTAAAACACGCTCGTGTACACGATTTTCCCCCCGCATTGTACGCGTTGAAGTGGACGGTGGTGCTGATGTCTCCGCCGCCGCCGCCGCCCAACCCTCGACGACTCGTAACATTTTACACGCCTCCGACACGAGACAAATCATAATTCATGCGCGCACCAACTACTAGACCCACTCCATTCGCGCTATACATACGGCGTGGTGTGCGACCGCACAATTTCCCTTCCTCCGCCCCGCTCGCGGCCATGTCCACGCGCGCCGACGACCGCCGTAACCCTTTTGCGGCGGCTATCGCCAACAACGCGTACGTCGCTCGTGAACGGTACGGCGTGCATCATCGCACCCGTTACCTGTTGTGCGCGTCGTTCTTTGTCACACGTGCGCGTGCGTGCGCTGCCAAGACGAACGTGTCGTCGACGTCACCGCCGTCCACTACCGCGTTTATCTTACCACCTCGGAGTCGCGTCATAATAAATATTCATAGCGCATGTGTCCGATGACGAATCTGTAAACGGCATACGACCACGACGGCGACCGTGTGAGAAGACGTTCACACGTCCTACACCGCCGCTACCCGCGCGCCGGTGTGTGAGCCACCGTGTCCGATTCGGTTGCCTCTTCACCGTTTTGAATAACAATAAGTTCAAGAAATACGTTCTCGGACACGGAAAATAATATAATATTTCGTATAGTAATACGTTTTAAAACATCATGTAAAATTCTCCGTCTGTTGTTGATGAACCGAAAAAAAAAAAAATCCCGTGCGATATAATGCCGTTGACGGTGCACGCATATCGGCACGAAACCAAGTTATAGGTGTATGGTTACGGTGAGATTACCGTCGTCGTCCTCGCGTTTCGTCGCAACAACGACCGTCCGCGCTATTGAGTTCCGTACGCGCGGTTCGATCCGTTTAAAATTTCTAGATTTCAATCACAATCACTTCTAATTGTTGCGACGTTTTATTCATTCTTCGTTAACATTATTGTTGTTCGTAAGACTTTTCGTCCGTCTTCTCGTTTATTATAATGTATTCAAGTTTTTTTTTTCTTTAATGTTCCTTATTATTATTCGAACATAGTATACTTGTAGTTTACTGTCTGTCAATTCGTTGTCACCTGCACGTTCGTGGTCGTTATTATACTACTACTACGCGTACTGCATTTTTTAAAGAATATTTGTTCTAGCGTGGTCAACGTGGCAAAGTGGACAAATATATTCGATATAACATAGTTGCGTTTTTAGTGTTCGTTCAAATCAACCGACTTCACAGCATGTGTACATCATTCGTTAGTTTTTAATATTTTTTTACCGCGTTTCATTTAGATTTATTTCCCTTTGTTTCTATAAAAATTAAATATTAAAAATATCTTCTTTTTTTTTTTTATTAGGTTTTCCTATATGAGTTTAATGAAATTATATCCAACGAAAAAATAAAATGTCCATTTCTTTCGGATAAATTATATGTATAACTTGCTCGATGCTTCAGCACCTTGACATCATGTAAAAATAGCGATATTGTAGGTTGCCTTTTGTAAGGACAGGGTTGTTTGTAAATAATTAAAGTGGTACCCTTCTCCCTAATTCTATATAATAGATGGTTCTTCTCAAGTCAGTGACACCTTGTGTACACGCGGGTTGGGGGTAATGAGAACACATATTAAGGGTTTTTCTATACCGTAAAATTGTTAACATAGTATTTCAAAACAAACAAAATGGTTTCAAAATTGTATGTTTGATAGCAACTGTTTTAAAAATTCAAGTGGAATATAAACCGTTTCGTTTATTCCTTGACTAATATTTTTTTAATACCTACAGTCGTAACGGATCGTGGAAGTTTTGTAAAATGATTTATTTACCGTTCCCACTGCAATTTCTATGAACGAAAGAAAAAAAAACGATAACCGTCGGCGTCTGCAGTCAATACTCATCGTATAATATATAATACATCATTAAACCGATTAATTTCGCGGTTCATCGAAGGTTTCGTTTCGCCGTGTCCGGTCAACGATAACTAAATTTTCTCTTTTAACCCCTAGCAGCTTCGCTCAACTCAATTATTACATCCGGCCATCCCAATGGGCATTCGATTATGTTTGCTAATTATAGTATATCAGAATTAAAATTAATACTAAACCGTTGGGTCGTAAAATAATATTTAATATCGATTCACTGTTTTGCGGGCGGTGCTCCACTAGGAATATCGAAAAACCGTGTTCAACGCACCACCGATACGTTTTAATTAAACACATACAGAGTTCGTGTGTATGCACATCTACCCACAATCATATCCATGTCTGTTCGTTTGGTTTTTTAGCTATCTGTATATGAGTTATATGGACGATAGTCGGGTTGTTAAGTGGTCATTAACGCCGACCGTTTGTTCGCGCGAGATGCTTGTACAATTATTATAACGTCTCTCCTCGTAGTGGTAGAAAGCCGGAGAAGACGTATTACTGGCCATCATAACTCGTTGGTTCGCAAACAAACGATTTTTTCGGCCACCGCACGCGGCGTGTATACCACGTCCGAAACGATGCTCGTTTCCCTTGATTACCATTTAATGTGCCGGCCGACTGTTTGTCAGAACGATACCCGTGGATTCTCGGATTCAGATTTAGACAGCGCTTCCTTCCTCGCGGTATCCAGTAGTTTAACCCAAATATATTACTTCGGTCATGGTCTATTTTTTCTACGGGCTTGTACGCTTTAAAGTACACGCACCAGGTTTATAGACCCCCCGCCCTCCATCAAATGGAAAAACTAACGATGATTTATGTAATCGTTTTAAACGTATAATGAAATCGGTTATGTTATTATCATATGCGCTCGCAGATACAACGTAATGCAATAAACTATAATGTACTCATGTGAACTTTGTTTATTTTTTCAACAGCATGGTCGTGTTTGGGTCAAGAAGGAATGACCGACACCCGAGAAGGGGAAGATATATCACTAAAATGTCGATTTAATGGACAATTACCATCAACCGTCGCCGAAACTCAATATTATTGGCTGAGGACTAATAAACACAACCAAGATAATGTGGCTATCAAGGCGACTCCGTTAGAAGGAAACTACAAGTAAATAGAAAATAATCATAACTCGTTTTTATACCTTGAACCATTAAAATTATGTGAATATACGATATCAATATACATTGAACTTAAAATTAATATCAAGTTAATAAATTAACAAAATACAATTATAAGAAAAAATATGGATAAGAAATTATTTAATGTTATTCTTGCATAGTTTTTATAAAATGGATATGCACCATTAGATTATATAATTTTAAATTTAATGGAGGTCTATTTCATATTATAAATGAAGTATTTACAAGTCTAACGCATTTATTTTTTTCTATTAACTTTTTTTTAGGCTTGATTTCCGTCCAGAACTAGGAATCTATGATTTACTCATTTCCAACTCAACTTATGAGAGGGATAACGGAAAATTCGAATGTCGACTGAAGGCAGCCGGTACTGGTCGTGAAATTCATTCCCAAAGTTTTCAAATAACTGTATTGACACCACCAAGTCCACCGCGTATCACACCCGGACCTAACCCTGTTGCTACAGAGGGACGTCCTTTGGAACTAGCATGTACGAGTACTGGTGGGAGTCCTGATCCTATTGTTAGGTGGTATCGCGAAGGTGTTCGAGATCCCATTGAATCTATTACACGCATCGGTACCAGCAATAAGGAGACGGTTACATCAGCGGTTTTACAAGTGACTCCAAACCGTGAGGATGATGGTGCGGTGTATCGGTGCATGGTGTGGAACAGGGCTATGGCTGAAAGCACAAAGTTCGAGACTAGGACCACTTTGAGTGTAAATTGTAAGTACCATGTAAGATTAATAACTGTTGGTAGTGTAAAAATAAATTTTAGGGTGCGTCTAAAAGGGATAAAACCACATATGGCTTCATAATTTCCGAAAATAGTTAAATATATTAATCTCGTAGATATTTCATTGATATATATATATACATAGTCTTAAATGTAAATGTTCTTCTTGTATTGAATTCTCATGTATATCATTAAAATAAATTACTTATCAACCTTTTTTAAAATTAGTTCTGAAAATGTATCCTGTATAATTAACAGATGATGGTCTTGAAGATGCTATTCATATTCTCTAATGACATTTTCTTTTGTGGGACTTAATAATATTCGAGTACTTTAAACTGTTTTACTATATTAAAAGGGTAGTGTTTGAAAATGTGTATTGGAGAGAAATACTCTAATATTAAGTATAAATGTTCCATTCTTCAAGTTCTTACATTAACCATTTAAAATATTCTAAACTGATTAGCATTTATATTTATTATTATTATTATTATTATTATTTAGATTATCCTCGCGTTCAAATTGGCCCGGAAAACCCTTTGCGGGTTGAACGAGACGATTCCATTACCTTGCAATGCAACGTTGATGCTAAACCTCGCGTCAATAACGTGCGATGGATGCGTGACGATCGTTTCATAGCTACTTCTTTCACTCATGTCATCCAAAAGGTTACCGCTCAAGACGCTGGCACGTATACATGTTTGGCGGACAACGGATTGGGACAAACGCGTGAAGCCGAACTCGTGTTGGATGTCCAATACCCTCCTCAAGTGACTGTCGAGACCGGGCCGGGTGTCGCTAGACAACGCGAGGCCGAAGAAGGTGAAACTTTGACCATCCAGTGTAACGTGTCTGCCAATCCACCGCCAGTTTCGGTCGAATGGATTCGCGAAGGGCGTCCAGATTTCCGGCAAGCAGGAGAAGTTCTACGCATACCTAAAGTCACCGCCGACTCGGGTGGTGTATACACTTGTAGAGCTGTCAATATACTTTACCCGTCTTCGTTGTCACGTCAAAGAATAAACCGTATTGGTAACGCGTCCTTAACTCTGTTGGTCCGTCACCGACCCGGCGTGTCCAGGATCACTCCGGATAGACCCATAGCGACTGAAGGTACAGGAGTGACTTTGACGTGTTCAGCGTCACCTCCAGGCTGGCCGACTCCTCAGTTCAAATGGTGGCGTGAATTCGATTCAGCAAACCCATCAACTAGTGCCACAATTTTAGCTACTGGACAAAAATACACTATTCAATCTGTACATTTGGGAAGTGAAGGTCGCTACAGATGTCAAGCATCTAATGAGCTGGGAACTGGAGATGCAGCTTCTGTCCTATTAACTGTTCACCATGCCCCGAAATTCGTCACCAAATTGCAACCACACGTCACCAGGCGTGCATCAGATATAGGTTTTTCAGCTATCTGCGCTGCTCAAGGAAAGCCTAAGCCGGCTGTGACTTGGTACAAAGACGGCAAAGAAGTATTGCACGATTGGTTTGATGTTAGCACAGATGAAACAGAAAACAGTAATGGAGTAACAACTGTGCACAGTACACTAAAATTCCATGGCAAAGAACGACCTCGGGGTAACCAGTTGGTGCCCTCAGATCGAGGTGTGTATTCTTGTGCATTTGAAAATGATGTTAAGAAAGTTGAATCCAGTATGCTTCTTAGAATTGAACGTAAGTAACCTTACTATATATTTCATTATAAATTTGGTATTAATTTGTTTTGATTTTTTACAGATGAACCCATTGTATTACACCAGTTCAACAAGGTAGCCAGTGATTTATATGAAACAGCTGAAGTAATTTGTCGAGTACAAGCTTATCCTCGCCCTGAATTCCAGTGGAGCTACAATAGTAACATGGCTCCTTTACTGGCAGGTAGCGATGGTCACTATGAAATAAACACAACTATTAATGAAAGTGGTGGTGACATTTACACCAGTGTCTTGCAAGTATCAAACCTCCGAGAAACAGACTATGGTGATTATAGTTGTCGTGTAGCCAACACTTTAGGTAGTGTAAGGTCCACAATTAGATTGCAACCTAAAGGACCACCTGATCATCCTGAAAACATAACAGCTCTTGAAATTGGCCACAATAGTGTTGTATTACAGTGGAACAGTGGTTTTAATGGTGGTATGATTAGTACCAAACACTCTATAAGCTACAAAAAAGTTTCTGTGGATGAGAATGAAGTAGACATTGACTGTTACACAACTAAAAGGTCCAATCAGCCAGAAAGATGGCAAGAATTCGACTGTCAAACAAAAAATCCCTGCAATGTAACCAACTTGGAACAACATCAAAGTTATTTATTTAAGGTAAATACTGATATAATAATAAATAATTTATTGAAATAATGAATGAAAGAATAATAAGTGTTCATTAAAGTATTATAATATAAACGGTTTATATAATATAAATGTAAGTTGTGAGAAGATTATTAATTTTATTTATGTCTCAGTTATTACCTCATAATTGGTGAATTTAATAATAATAACTAATTGATACCACATTTTTTCTATAAAGAACTAATAAGTATATGTAGTTTTTATTTGTATACTTATAATTAAATAATAAAATCAAATATTAAACCTAATTAATTAAATAAATTTTAATTGACTTACAGGTTAAAGCGTATAACAATAAAGGCCACAGCGAGTATTCACAAGAAACTGTAGCCATGACTAAAGTGGATCGTATACCAGCACCTCAACGTGTAACATTTGATCCCGAATCTCATGCTTTGACCATCAACATTGGTGCAACTTGTTTACAGTTGGTAAGATTTTATTTTTTATAGTAAAACTTTCTTTTTATTTTAATCTTAGGTTTACTTATTTTAACTAAAAAAAAAAAGTTTTATCCCAAAAGTCTTAAAAATGTTTATAACTATTGTCAATAAATTTTTGAGTAATATTTATGTATAAACATTTGGAAAATGAAAAAATTATGATGGTTATATAACAAAGTTCTTGTATGAAAATTAATTAAACATAGAGTTTATACATTTTTTACAAAATACCTTTCACAGTTTCAAACTTAATTTATATATTTTATGGTTTTAAAAACCATTTATAAAATTTATCTCTGTATAAAAATAGTAATTTTTTTTCTTTTTTAGGTGGGAGTTGTTGAAGCATCCATGGGAAGTACTCGTGAAAATTGGCATTTGATTGAAACTCTTCCATTAGCAGTTAGTGGTAGTACATCTACAAACCGTGAAGCTACCATTTTGTCATTAATTTCACATCGTCAAAGCACTGGTGCTCGTTCACTAGATGAACACGACCTGAACCTAATGGGTGGTAGTGAAGATGAAGATCTTATTGATAAGCCAGCTGATGATGTTCGAATTAGAGTTAGGCTATGTCTTCGCTCTAGTCAAACAACATGTGGTGATTACACAGAAGCTGAAAGTAAGTCATTTAATAAGTAAATAATTAATTCTATTAGAATAATGATATTAATTTGTCAATTTATAAAATATATTACATTGGTTGTTTAATATTTTTTTGTTTATTTTTAGTTGGTGCAAATTTTGTTAAAGAACAACAAGCAATTGCCACTCCTACCCTCATTGCTCTAGTCATATCATGTGCTGTTTTTATTTTATTTGTGGCTTTATTATTTGTATTTTGTCGCTGTAAACGTAAGACTGCAAAGAAAACGACAAGCAAAGAATATGAAATGGATTCTTCAACGTAAGTTCTTCAAACTAATTAATTTCTCTATTTTTGTAATTGTATTTGCTTTTTATATCTACTAATACGATGTATACTTAATGGGTCATTTACTAATAATCTCCGAAATGAAATATTTGGATACTCCTTTTATTTTTATTAAAATGCTTTAGTTAAAATTCTTAGGAATTATAGATATAAAGAAAATAATTACTTTATTAAGTTTGATATTCTTATTTCTCTTGTATTATTATAATTATATAATTATTATTCATTTATTTTTTTTATTTTTTTTTTTAGGATTTTACAATATGTATAGAATAATACTTAATATTATAATTGTATTTTAAATCACTTAATTATATAGTATTAAAATATAATCTATTAATTTATTTAAATTATTCTACTTCAATAGTTACATATTAAAAAATAAAGTTTACTTATAAAATAGTTTTTGAATTTAACATTTAAAATATGTCTATTTTTATACTTGCACTTATGTAGTAGTTTTAAATGATTTTGATATTAATCTTAAATTAACTATTAATTGTAGCGTACAACCTATCAATTTAGTTTATTATAATATCTTCTTTGTAAAACCACTTTTATTCATATTTTACATTGTTGTTTCTATGATTACACGCTACATTTGGCGTTTTTGTAAATTGGTGAGTATTATATATTTTGGGCCATTTGCCCTACACATTTAGGTTAGATAACACTAGAACTTTTATTATTTTAAATATAGTGTCAATAGTTTTCTTTGCTTTTGAATTGAAATTTGCAATGTAGAAAAATTGTTGTTTGTTCTTCTTCTCTAATAATAAGCATTTTTTTTTATTCAGTGTTCACCCTAGTATAATTCATGGACCCCCACCCTACACCGAACCTGGTCTTGACAACAAAGTACTTCAGCAGTCTGTAGATCTAGTTCACGATGTCACTAAGAATGCTGTATATGGATCCCAAAATGACTATAATACATATCACACTGGCAACGGATTGCGTCCGAATGGTGAATGTAAGATTTATTAAATAAAGACTAAATGAAAGTATATGAGAATTTGTAATTCATGACAATGAATGAGCTGAAATATTTTTGAAACAATTTAATTAACATTAATATGAACTTGACTATAACATATTTTTTATTCTTTTAGGGGTCAATGTTGGTTATGTAGAAAACAGTTATTCCAATTCAAACAATGGTGGTTCAGTCAACTCTCAAGATTCTCTTTGGCAATTAAAAATGGGTGGTAATGGTAGTACTGGTGGAGCACACATTTCTCGTGATGATAATTTACACATGTCTGAGCGCATGAACCACTATGGTAATTAAGAATTATTATTAAACAATATGTATGTACTTTTTGAAATCTTTATGAATTCAAATGCTATTTAAATATTTTAAATGTTATATAAACGCATAAAATATAATAAAAAAAATGTATGACTAATTTTATTATAAAACTATTATTTTTCACCAGTAATATATTAATTGATTTAATTCTACAGGAGGTTATGATCCACTAACTCATGGTGGCTATGGGAATATGGATGATTATGCACACTATCCACAACTGACTTCAGCTAGCCCAGATTACAGCACTCATAGTCATGCCCCTTCTAGGCAAGATTACATTCACAGCGGTCATTTGCAACCAGCTGACAAAAGCCGCAGGCGGGATCTACACCTTGGTATGCACCATAATCATCTCGTAACTCCTTGAATGCGTATTTTTAACTTACTTCAATTAATCTTGATTTCAGAATCTCCATATGGTGATGTTAGTGGCTTACCTGACCCTTACCTTGAACAACTTATTGACAACGAGGACCACATGAAACCTCAACCACATTTGTCCATGTCATATGATGAAAGTCTTGAGTCTGGATATTCTACTCCGAATTCACGGACGCGACGTATAATCAGAGAAATTATCGTTTAAAAATGATGCGTTGCCCTGTGTGTATAGTGTTTTAATTTTGACGTTGTTCTTGTACATAAACATAAGTTGTTGTGTTGTTAAAGCGTCATCAGATCTCAAAATTTTGTTTGTGCTCAACATCCATCTTTAGATCGTATAAACTTTAGTTGTATCCCATTTCTACCACACTGCCTTTGTGTTCCATATACATGCATCTGTGTAAATAATCAATTTTATTTATAATCATGATGATAGTGTTGAGATATTCCAATTCATTGATGTTTGATCTAAACTTATTACTTAATGCACTTATTAAAATTTTCATTAAAATGAACTGTCTTTTTTTACCATTGTATAGTTGTTAGGAAAACTTTCAAACTTATGAGTATCAATTACTCTGCTACAAAATGTATTATTTTTCTGTATTATAATAATCATAATTTTTATTTGCGATATGTTGCTCTATAACTTTATGTTACTGGAAAAATTATCATTTACTTATGTAAATAAACAAACACAAAGCATTTAGTGTTAAATTCATATTTCCCATTTAACACAAGTAATAAGTATTAATGCGAGAGACTTTATGACTTGAGTTTTTTTGAATATTGTTACAAAATCGTGTTGGGTTAATATGGCATTCTTAACTTGCTACAGTATTAAATTAAATGCACATTGATTAAAAAATAAGACATGTTCCTCGTTTTTCTTTCATTTTAAAAAATTTATGTTCTAAATTTTTTTTTTTTTTTTGTATTTTGGTCATTTATAAATCCAAGACTGTTCAGTATTTTACTTAATTTCTTGACCTCTCGTGTAGACTCGGAATATCTTGTAGCAAAAACCTGTTATGGTTTATATATTTTACAGTTTATATATAGTACTTAGTTCCTATTTTCAACAAGGTTAAAGTAGTATAAAAAAAAAATTAAAAAATTGCGATTTGAGTGTATATGGATAGGTCAAGAAAACATTGAACATGATTATTAATGTCAGAACAAATTAGGTATGTGCCATTATAAATTAATGTGCTTATAAAAAACATGTAAATATAATTTAAATTTTTTATTTTGTTCATACTGTCATAATATTTACTTAAGTATATTTTAATAGATCAGTTAAGTGATTTTAATGATGTATAATTAAAATTAAAATTGGACTGCAAATATATATATATGAGAGTTTCTCAAGTTTTTTTTTTTTTTGTAAATTTTGTTTTTATTTTGTATTTATATTTTAGTTAAAAAAAGAAGACAATTTAATTGTATATTATAAATTTAAGTACTATAAATATTATAATATTGTTTTAGGCTTATAGGAACTATTCTTTATATTTATTTTTGTGAAAAAAAAAAAAATATATATATGTGAACAATTTAAAATACATTTTTATAAGCAAAAATACGTTGTTTATGGTCTGCTTTTAATGTCATGCCGGTCCGTAACAGTTTCATATTATGTACTATTTAAATATACTTGTTCCAGAATATTATCATTTTTTATTTACAATGATTGTTAATTTTTTTGTCATATTGATTTCGCCGTTAGTCATTACTCTTCATTGTGCAATGCGTGAAATATAATATATATATATATATTGAAATAAAATTGAAATAAATATATTATGTACTAAACATTGTTGATTATTAATTCTTTTCCTTGAACCCTTACAAAAATCATTTATTTTTCAACGCAAGTTTTTTTTTCATTTGTTTGAATGTACTTAAAAATATTGTTTTTGATGATATACATAAACATTCATGTATTTGTGAATAACTTTTAAAATACAAAAATGTTATACCAAATCCAAAAGAGTACGGTTAACGTATGATCATTTATTTGCAATTTGAATAGTAAATTTCTTTTTCCAAAACACTGATGAGCTGAATGAATTTTTCATTTGTCATATATCATAGGTACATGCGTATAATGCGTACAATGCTGCTGTACAAAATAGATGCAATATTCAAATGATAGCAATCGAAAAATTTATAATTTTTACGTTGTATAATGTAATCGTACTTAATGGCTTAAAGTTCACTAATTCTAACGAATTGTGCATTTTCAAAAAAAATTGAAAAAAATACTATAATGGATACAGTTTATTCTGATGTCACGAAAATTATTATATAATTTAATAAATGATAAATATGAGTTTTTATTTTTATGAAGAAATTAAAAAATAAATTCAAGCAACATGAAAGAATAGATAATTACTGCAAACCAATTTAAGGTTTAAAAAAATTAATTAGTATTTCAACTGTGATAATATTAATATTTATGCGTATTAATAACCATGCTTTTAAATGGTAACAAATCTTATATAGTTTAGTATTTATAATTTATTTCATATACATAAAGCACTGTAGCAGTAAGTTAAATTTAGAATATTCTAAAATCAATGCTAGAGGTATAATCTCCATTTAAATTATAATAAGCCATTTCTTAAATGAAAAAAAGTACTTGATTATCTTTTTAGCAATATTACATTTATAAATATGTTTAAGCAGTACCTATTTGAAATCATGCAATAAAAAAAAAATCGATTTAAATAACTGTGTGTTGAACACAATAAAAAATGGTATCAATAATAAACAATAAAGCAATAATTAGACAGTGCATTTTTATAGCTGCATCAGAAAAATTGTTGAGTGCTGTTCGAACCACCTAAATCGACCGTTTGTCATCTAGAAAAATCAAAGAAAAATATCTCCATTTCATTATATTAAAATTTATATTAAAAAAACTAACCCTTTTTTAACGTACTTCTTTTATTGCGATTAAGAAGTATTTATAAATATTATTTATTGCTATATCATTTTTAATATTTAATTCATATTTCAATTAACAATACATGGTTATATTTTAACATGCACTATAGCTTAATAGTTTTAGTAAAAATCGTTTTGAAACTTATATGAGAGTGTATAAAAACTATTACAACTTTAACAGACCTTAGTATTTCATCGGTTAATGTATTAATATAAATTTTTGTAAATAAAAAACCTTTAAATTTAAATAATATTTTTTGGCGGCATACTGCGACGGGAACAATGATATAAAATTATGCTAATATTACTTGTCTTATTCTATTCACGTTTATTAAATATTATCATTCTTACAAGTTATATTTTTTATAATACCTGCCCATTCTATATATTAATACTAATATAAAAAAAAGAAAAATTTTAATTTCATTTTCTTTAATTTTCAAAATGTAATTGATTATTAAAACATTGTATTTATTTTCTATATTATAGTAAGCAGCCGAAATCTAGGAGCCGATCTAGAGTGAAACGAATTTACGATAGACAAACACATACCTACTTACTCCCACAAATACTGGTACGTCGTTTTTCTTTTGAATAACAACTGTAATTATAATTAAATCAATTAGTTTTATATTTTTTAGTTACTATTTTATTTTTTGGTATTTTATTTATTACCCTATTAAACTTACAATAATTAAGTATTATCGATTATATAAATAATATTTTTCCATTACTTAAATCAGTTTGTTGCATTCAGTATTCATTTAAATTATTAATACTCTAAATTCATAAATTTAATAGTATTAGTAATTTTTTTATTTTTATCAAATATATTTTTTAATTTCGTCTGTATAAGTAATCTCTAGACTTCTGGATACCCCTTTTCATTTTTTCTTTTGTTATTAAAGCATTAATTTTTATCGAAATATTTCCTATGTTCAAACAATTTTCTATTATTATAATTTTAATATTTTGTGATGGTAACTGATTAGAAATGGGGTGTGGAATGACAAAAATAACCAAAATTCAACTGACAATTTAATGATAAAAATATATTGAAATCTGAACATTAACTGTTGGTATTACATTTTACAAAATAAATGTTTGTGGAATTAATTTAAAAATACAATTTTCTACAACTTGCGGAGACCGGGGGCCCCAAGAAATTGGTGGCCAAATGCAAGTGCTGCATCTGTAGTTACGTAAATCAAGGTCTGACTTTAGGAAAAATAAATGAAAAGAGTTAGACTAATAATTAACTGCTTATCTTGAATTACTCGCTTTCAATTTGGCTTAATAAGTAAACATTTAACATAAAATCCATCGAATAGATCATTGTGACAGAGTCGATAACCAGTAAATTACTTGTTGACAAAATAACAACTTATTTTGAAAGAAAAAAATTCTGCCCTAAATTGGATATTTTTTTAGACGTTGCACAGAAATTTTATTTTATATAGCACGTAGGCCTTCTCAACAAGTTAAAGAAATTCCTTCCGACACCCTAATTTTTAATTCCCAAAAGTTTTCTCCGGACTCTCCGATATTTCGTATTTAGTACATTATTATAGACGAGCGAACGAGTGATGTACTCATCTGATCAACGGCGGCGCCGGAACGCGTGGAAGAAAAGCGCAAGGAAAACCGGTAATAATGTTACTCGTGACCGCAGTACCACGATCGACGGACGGGTTAACTATAAAAACACGGTGTCGGAAGATACCGGCGGCGACGACGACGGCCGACGAAACGGTTCGTTCGCACTCGTTCGTCTCTTTTGTTCTATTCCGTTTTTGGTTTGATGTGCAAGTTGTACAATAATTGTAAATTAGCTAAATAATTTTGCTTTTGTTCCCTTGCCCGCTGTTTCGTTATCCATCGATGCTTTACTCTTTACTCGCTCGCTTTTCTATCGTTTCGCGTTCCGTCGCCGCTACTATTGTTCATCTGAAACGCTCTACCGTCCGACCTGGACCATTTGACGCGGACCTCGTGTCCATCGTCTGAGCGGTTATTAGTTATTACTACTATTACGTTTAACGATATAACTTCCTGTATTGTTAATATAATCGTTCTAAATTCGCGTTTCGTCGACGGTGAACAAGTTTCCGTTATAACAGATTATACTCATCTATGATAAAATTAGCATTATCAATAACAACGGTTTATTAATCAGGTTTGTACGTGATTTGTGATGGAAAACACCGGGGCCACAAAACGCACGTTGGACGATGACGTCGAGGTCAATTCGAAACGGTTGAAGTTTGACGACCTGCAGATGCTTCCCTCGACGGAAAGCATACGAAATGTAAGAGACCCCAGAAAGTGGAGTCAGTTGCCGTCCATTGTCTACGAATTGCTCACGTTGTTCAAAAAATCGGAAAAATTTGATGCTGGGGAAGACGAAAAACTGGTAAATATGATCACATGTCAAACGATTGTCGATATAATTGTGCGGGTCAAGGATTCACGGGGGACCTGTAAACGAGTCTCCGTCAATGGTAACTCCATATGTGTTGGTTGTTGCTATTACACAAAAATTTCTGACTAGCTTCAGAATCGTTAATAATATATTTCAAAATTTAATTTTTATTATCAATTAAGTAGCTATATATAAGCAGATAAAAGGTATGCATAAACAAAAAAAAATATTTTTGTTTTAATTAATAAATATGTACACAAGAGAATATAAAATGTTCAATATTTCATTCTACAATAAAAGTGATAGGATAAATCTGATTAAATAATTATATTTATTATTAATTTTTGGCATGCACTTAAAAAAGTATTCTTTAGTTTCATATTTTTTATGAAGTTATGCAATATAGCATTTCTGAAATATTATAAATTGTATTAATATACTTCATTCCTAAATTTCTTCTTTAGTTAACCATGAGGTAAATTGATCACATTGTTGAAGGGATTTTTGTTATCATTAACTTCTTTGATCTAATTAATAAAAAAATTAACAGGTTTATAAATACTGTTTTATTATCCTACATTATTCAATATTTATATTCCTAATGTAGTAACTAGTTTAAAATACAAGTAAGTTTTGATTAGTTTTGAGCATTAAAAAAGCAAACCCCATGTACAGTTAATTATATTTCTTAGTCCTTGGTGGATGATACAACTGATCTAATATCATGAATTTTTGGAAATTTTTCTTCTTGATGATTAACAGTAGTTCTTTATGAAACCCATTTTTTACTATTGTGTTTGAACCTATTGCTTATTTACTAATGGTTGATTATAATTTTTTAATAAGTTTATTTTTCTTACTTTTATATTCCATTATACAAATCACTATAATGTAGCTTATCCTTAACTATTTAAGGATTTAATGTCTATTTAAGACATTCAAATACTTGAATTGCAATTGATTAATACTTTAATCGCTGTGTCTATATGCCCGACCATGATCGGTAATAATTTACCCCGACTATGGTCGGTAATATAAAAGGTACACCTGACCATGGTCGTTAAGATAAGGTACGGCCGACCAGTGATAACAACTTAGTTGTCATAACCTCATAATCTTATCAAATTTTGAATTGGCGCATGGGAATCTTCTCGATGGGCCGGTCCTTGCTTGGGCCACTCTATATTATTATATTATTACCAAAAAAAAGTTTTATTTTGTAAAATAAATAAAAATCATTAAAAAATAAATATATATTCAAAGATGAATTAAGATCAAACTTCAAGTTGGAACTGATTAATCATGTGACTTACCCAATACTCTTATAGCTATAATTATAGTAAAGTTATTGTAGATTTTACTAATTTAGGAGTGAAACTAAACAAATTTTGAAATGGATGCAAAATAAAGCATTTTTTTTTTTTTTTGAGGAGGTGGGGGTAAAATAGTTAAATTTGCAGTTCATGGGCCGGTTTGTTTCATATTTCCTGGGCAGAAAATAATTGCCAATCTACCCCTGGCCAAGTATACATATCAGTCCTGTCCATAAGGAAAACTTCAGAATTCCCGGTATGCCAATCTGTCCCTGTATATTAAGAAACATAATTTTTTTGTAATTTTAAATACCTTCTCATTATTACAATCACCTACTCTTTTAATGTTTGGGAAGATAGGAATCAATCATTATTTTTTTTTTTGTTTTTTCTTTCTGATAGTAAAATTCTTTCCATTTTGTTCATATAGTTAATCCATCGATTAACCCAAATACTTCACTAAGCTTCCTCATTTATTAACATTTTATAAAAAAATAATTGGCAAATGAAGGTTATTGTATTTTACCTTAGGTCTAAGATACTTTGGTTTAGCAGCATGAAGTTTTTTTCTCTTTTTGATGAAAAATTAATAATTATAAACTGAAGATTATAAAAATTAATCTTTTAAAATTTTTGGCAGAATCTTCATTATGTTACTGTTGAAATCAACTATTTGCATTAAAAATTTAAACAAAATATTAACCCAACATCCAATTTACCTATATAATATATTTTTATATTTCAGAAAAATGTTATAGATAATGAAAAAGAAGAGTTACAAGTTTTACCAAATGATAATCCAAAAGAAAATATTGGATTTCTTCAAAATAGTGATGAAAAAAATAATAGTGAATTTATTTGTACTGTTGAATCAAATAAATTAAGTACATTTAAATCTTCTATAGAAAATTCTTTACAGAGTATAAAATTTGATTTTTTTAAAAATGAAGCAGAAAATTTTGAAGTTCAAAATAATATATCTTCAAACGCTAAAAAAGCACCTGTTCAAATTATTGAAGATAATTGTTTCCAGAAGGTAATTCTGATTTTAAATTAAAAGTTAACTAATTGACAAATTACATATTCAACAAATTTTATACAACAATTTTATATTCCTCTTTTTAAAATGTGTATTGACCTAACTCGTATGCATAAAAAACCTACCAGTTCAGGTCAATCACCACAAGCACATTTAATAATGGTACAATATATTCTTTTATGACAGACTATGTGGAGATGTACAGATGTACCAATTAAAACGGTTTTGAGTTCAACCAAAATATAAATACTTTTATTTTATTCTTATTAATTTATTCATTGCTCTATTTGTGTTAGACCTTAGATGATTCTAACAATATTTTTTTGGTAATCATTAAAAAGCAGATGATAATTAAATTTTGGATTTTAATGTACTTTAATTTACTATGAGAACTATACCCATATTTATACAGGCTTTCTGAAATTTTGCACAACTCATTGACATTTAACTGTCACAGTTTCATCAATCGGTATTTTCAAGTATCAGACATTTTTCGAGGTACACCAGTTGAGAACCACTACTCTATACTGAAGAAGTATATTTGGGCTTATTACAAATATTATAAACAATATTCTTATTTTTTGATTTTTTTACCCAGTTAAAACAAATTAGTTCAATTTTTTTCTACAGTCTGATTAGTATTAGTCTATATAATTTATGATTTATATTAATAAATATATTTATTTACTCGTTTATTGTAAAGTTATCATTAATAGCATGTCTGTAAAATAAATTACAAATAATATCTTAATTTATCCGAATTAATTTTTTTTCTTCAAAATGTTTATTTCATTAGGTTGAACAAAAAGAAGATGAAGATTATGAGAAAACAAGTGGTTTTAAGAAGTGTACACTTACAAAAACGGATTCTACTCAGCCTACATCTACACCAATGTACACAAATGAAAATTATAATACAATAATGTCTATGCCAGAAAATATTAAAAGTCGAACTTTTACATGTACATTTACAAAAAATGTATCTGTAACTATTTCGAATAGGCCTACATCCACACTAAAAAGTGTTTCATCTATACCCATAACTACATCAATTGATTCTGCTACGCCAGTTACTATATCCGACAGTGTATTCAATAAAAATCCTCAAAAAGATATGTTTAAATCACCTATAAGAGAGCAAATATTTAACTTATTAAAGGTACAGTGTTTAAAGGGTATTTCTGAAATTCCTACTGTTAAACCAACACCATGTATTTGTCAATATTGTAAACATGTGGATAATTTGACATTAGAAAAATCAGCTTTGTATAATAAATCCATGAAATTCATGAACAATATAAATCTAAATACTGACATGTATTCTTCAGATGTTGCAGCTGATAGTTCAGAAACTTCTAAAGATGTTTGGATTAATGATTTATGTTCTCTCATTAGGAAAAATGATGAATTACATAACGTTTCTGTACCTGGTACTAATATTTCTAGTACTTTGACATCCATCAAAGATATTTTTAACAAAGTGGCTGAAAAAATTAAACCCCATCTTCCATTCTGTAAAAAATGTAAAAAATCTAAGCATATTAACTCATCCATTTGTAATAATTGTAAGCCACAGCTTAAAAATAAATTTGAATGTTATGATCCACGAAATGATTACAGAAATTACAACCATAAACATGGAAATAATAAATTTAGAAATTACTAATATAATACTTAATTGATAGTTATTTGTGAAACATTTGTTTCGTTTGAAGCTTAATTATTTTGTTAGAAATATTGTTATATTTTTAAATTTTCCTATAATTTTAAAACTATACCTGAATAATTAAAAATTAAATAGATGAAAATATTGACTATATTGAACAGTTTAACTAAAATACTTAAATAATTCTGATATGTATTTATGTATTTCAATTATTTTATGTAAATTTTAAATTGGAAGATAAAAGTTGAAATTATCTTTCTGAACACAGTTCCATATTTATTTATATGTATGAGTATTTCTATGTTCAAAGTGTTAGTGTTATTGTTATTTATTCAATCATTAATATTATTAATGACATTTAATCTTATATTTTTCAAAATACTGTTTATACATAATTTTGTAATTTTTAATATAATAAAAGAAATAATTAATTGTATATTAATTATACAAAGTACAAAATATTATATATACACTATAAGTACATAATACATATGTATATGTATCAACATCATCTGTGATGTTCATCCGTTTTTATTATTAGGTATTAAAAAATTTAAGTCGAATCCACACAATCGTGTACCCGCGCGTAACATAGCTGAAACATTTCACGAGCGCAGACGCCTATACTGGGCAAAGATATGTATGTTGTAACAAGAAATGGGCTCTCTTCCGAGAAAGTAAAATCAAGAATATTCCTTATCTCAGAAAAGTGCAGGAAATGTTTGTTTTAATGAAATTATCTTTTTAATTAACTACATATGACGTTTTAAAATAGTAAAAGTCAAATTCTTTTAAGTTATTTGTAACTATACAAATTAAATAACTAGAAAAATATTAATAAAAATAATCTACATAATATTATTTAACCTCTTGTCAAACAGGATAATTTTTCAGACTTAAATTAAGATATAATATAATTAATACCAAATATTTTTATACTGTATTTTTAAGTACAAATCGAGTTATATTAGTGATGATGTATTGACGATACATCTAGACACCAGTATTTCTAAATAAAACAATTTGATACATCATATGTAAAAATAATCGTAATATTGGGGATAGTTGGAAAAGTAATCTAAAAGAAAATTCTTGTGAAAATAACTTTTTCAATGGAATATCTTTAGATGTAACACCATCTAATGTGCTATTGTTTTTTCCTGATTTTGTAATATTCATCAATCACTTGTACTATGTCCGATCAAATCACGAAAAGAAGACAATAAATCATTTTCTCTTTTATAATGTCTGCATAACACGAAAATAATTTTGATAATTGAATTCGTGCATAATTTTTTTTTTTAGATATTGTTTAAGTAAGAAATGCGATGGCTAGCTAATACATTATCTTTTTTTTTTTTTCAGTAATAAACCAATAACTGTTGTCAAGCACACAAATATGTAGGTACATTTTTTTTTAGTTGCGATAACACTTGAACAGAAATAATGCTTCACTATTGACTTCAGAAAATTTTGTTTTATTTTTAAGTTTTCAAATAAATCTAGTTTGTACTTTGAAGATATAATTTTTTTAAACTACCAATATTTTTCAAAATAATCAGAAAAACAAAAAAAAAATTGCTAAGAAGAGAAAAAAATACTCTAAATTGATAGTCTCCGCTCAGAATTATTTTTCGTATCCAATGATTTATGTTTTAATTACAATTTACAGTGATATCTACTATTTAGCAAAGCAGTTTTTATTATTTTATTATTTTTCATTATTATCTAGGTACTACCTATTAATTTATTATATTTGAGACCATGCATTTCAATGTTACGTGAAAATCCTTCAACCATACCATCAGCTTCCATTTCAGTGGAGGCTTTACTCAAATTTAGAAAACACTCATGTTCGGATGCTTTTTCGTTTAGATTTGATGCTGTTTGACACACAACAGAGTATCTATTCCTTATTCCAACAAATAAAACTTTCCTGGTTTTTTCCCCAATAATAATGGCCTGCATAATATTGTTTTGATACAATTAATAATTGAGTACCTACTATAATTATTTACAATTTAATTTAAACATTTGCACTTTCGTATCGTTCCTAATAGCACATTATACTTAGATTTCTAACTATGTTTTGGCCATTACCCATCAGCGATAACTGTACACATCAGTGGTGTATATACAGGGGTGTTCCCTTACATTTTTCTGAGAGTATACTATGCCATTATGTACCAAAACACGGACTTTTAATGCAATACAAATAATTATCTTTTGGTCTTTTAAGGACGTGTACAAATAAAAATAAATAAATTGAAATCAAATTGTTTTAAATATTTTCTTATATTTATATTATAAGTTATAAGTTACATATGTATAAAAGTGATCTTTTAAATACTTATAACTTTATGTATGCATACAATAGATCGGTATTTAGATGTGGCTACTCTAGTTCTAAATCCCGGTGAAATGTTTAGTTCCAGTCTACCCCTGTTTACTGTAGCCAAATAGTGTAAAATATTTTGGCTATCGATATCGTAAATAATTATTGACTTACCTTATTGTGGGAAAAATGTGATTTCAAAAATAAACTACATTTACTTTCGAGGCATTATCTGAGTAACCAAAGTTTTATCCTGTGTTGTGGTTTGAGAATACCCGTAATTTTGTAATAATTTCTTGAGAGTATACGGCGTATATCTAGCATACCCTATGGTAACACCTCTGTGTATATAGGGGGTGGCTAGGTCCGGGTCCATAGTGAAATCTCAGATTCAATTAAAACATTTTATGCATAGGTATTGCTAAATTATATATTTATATGATATCTTGATCCGTACCTACTATTATTGTTGGTGTTCTATGCTAGTAGGTATGTTATTTTTGAGGTATAAAATTCACGTTACTGACCGATACCATGGTTCTCCAGAAGTGTATTTTAGAATTGGTTTGTTTATTCTATATCTTGATGAGCTATCTATGTCATTAACTAACGAATTTAGCAAACATAAAAAAGTTCTTTTAAGTCTTCAACATACTGTACCATTTTATGTGATTAATTCTAACTATACTGATGTATCAGATACCATTACCTTTTACCAAACTGGTTTTAATGATAACTATAATCCATAAATTATTGAAGGTGATCGGAGACTATGGAGAAGTAAGTGGAAACATTTTGTTTAAATTCATCTGACAGGTTGAAAGGAGTTTTTCAACACTAGTTCGACTTAAAACATTTTTAAGAAATCAACAAGGTTAGATTGTTGGGCCTTATGTTGATGACGATTAGTCGTAATATACCTCTAAATGTCGAAGAAATTGTTAATATTTTTATTAAAAATAAATAAAAAAAATAAATTTTACATAATATTAAGTCAAAAACATTTTAAGTCAACCTTCTGTAGAAAAATGCTTAATTTATTATGTAACTTATTTAATAATAAATAGCTATATTCTAATAAGTTTAAATTTCTATATTTTCATCATTTATGTCATAATTAAAATCACCCGTTCCCTAAAAAAATTCAAGTTGTACTTATGGTAGGGTTAAATTGGCCCATAGTGAAAATAATTGCTATATACGCTACTGCTACACATATGTAGGTATTCCGTCTACACCGTTTACGTGTACAGTGGCGTATTTTCAATTTTTTCTGAGGGGGTCCACAGTTTATACATAATTAATATAAACTATATTATATTATATTGTAATAGTTACGTCCTAAATATATAATGTAATAATCGTATAGTCTTATGTAATATTATATATATATGTACCTATATATTGTATTTAGCATTATATATTATGAAGTATTGTTTTAAAATAAATTCCGATGTCTCGATTTTTTGGTCAACTCCTCTATCACTTCATCAACAGTAATGTCAACTTCCCTGTGAATGTTTAACATAGCCAATTCTGCAAATATGTAAGAATTTTTGTTAGTTATTTTATTTTTTGGAGAGGTTTTGGAGGGGATCAATACCCCTGGACCCCCCCCCCCCCCGTAAATACGCCATTGTACGTGTACATCGGCATTTTCTATTGCTATCAGCTGTTCTTAGTCCCCAGCCTTTTTCATTTCTTTCCCACAGTTTGTTTTATTAACAAATAGGTACTACAATTTTGTATTTTTATGTACGTCGTATTGCACATAGAAGGTAGGTACTTCAATGGAAGCAGAAAGTTCCGTTAACTGTGCATATCCTATTCCTTTTATTGTAAAATGTAATATTTAATTAATCACAGTTTATTTATACCATACATTTTTTTAAATTATTTAATTATTATATATTATAATCCATTAATTAATATACCTGCTGCAATACTACCGTTAACTAAAGTTTTGTTAATTGATATATATAGATATGTCTTTTGGATTTTCAGAATAAATTACAGTTTCAATACTACAAATTTAATATTGAAATTTAAAACTTGAATTATACCCGATTCTGATTTCTGATTTAAATGTTATATCTAAAAATGTACAATCACTACCACCACAATGACGATTTTTTTAAATTTATTCAAAAATATAAACTATGCATATCAACTATTCGTCTACCTAATAAGTTCATGAATGTATATAGATAATTAGTAAATTACCAAGAGAAAAAATAATATGACGATATATACATACTCGGAAGTAATTGTGTCTGAAGTAGTACTTGAAATTATGCTTCAATTATGAGCGTCTATATTATCACTATAATATATATTATAAACATTAAAATGTGTGGTAAATATTATTTATCAATAAGTAATATAATTAAAATGTTTTAAATATAGATATAAGCAGAGGTGTTCCCATTATTTTTTTTCAGAGTATACTAAGTCAAACACAAAAATATAAATATAAAAATATTTTTCTTATGGTTTATAGGAGTAAAGCCGATAAAGAGTGTGTTAATAATAAGAAACAATTTTAAATCAGATTTTTTAAATATCCTCTTTATATTACCTCATCAATCGAGATAAATATTAAAAAGATTAAAAAAACACATTGATAAAAAACATTTTCTGCAATTTATTTTCATCGTTTCATTCTTTCCGTTCCATACCTCGTAGAGCAGAAACTGCTGAACGGTGATCTTTCAACCAAATCTTTATATAAGGTCGTGAATTGAAAACTACAAATGAAGGGCCATTGATAGAGATA